TTCCTTCCTTCCTTCCTTCCTTCCTTCCTTCCTTCCTTCCTTCCTTCCTTCCTTTATTTATTTTTTTGCCAGTGTCGTCTTGCACTGTTTCATTGGCTGACCTGAAACTCACTATGTAGACCAAGCTGGCCTCAAACTCACAGAGATCTGGCCACCTCTGCCTTGGGAATGCTGGACTTAAAGGTGTGCACCACCATGCCCAGCATGAAAGTTCTTTTCAATTGAGGAGTTTTTCAGAAGAATCACAGCACTGGGGTGCCCTAAACTTGAGCTTTGATTTCTTTTTTAATTAGACACCCTACCTTTTTTTTTTTTTTTTAAGATTTATTTATTTTATAAAAGTGTGTGTTTTTTACTCACACAAATGTCTGTGTATCGTATGTGTGCCTGGTGCCTGTGAAGATGTGCCTGTGAAGATCAGAAGAGGGTGTCAGATCCCCTGGGACTAGAGTTTCAATGGGTTGTGAACCTTCCCTGGGAATTGAACCCTCTGCAAGAGCAAGTGCTCGGAATCACTGAGCCCTCTCTCCAGCCCCAGCTCCATCTTTACAAGACAGCTTCACAGAGTCCAGTAATATTCTAATGGCACATTGTTGATTTCCATGTAATTTCTAAGACTCCCACTTGCTCCTTAGTAAAAAGGCCCTGTAAAATGCACAATTCACTTAAGACACTGCTTATCCATTTGCTGGACTTAACTTGCTGTTTATCAGTGCTGAAAGCAGACATATTGTATGTAAGCTGATGCCATAGCAGAGAACAGTGCCCTCTTCTTGAGAATAAATGTGGTATTGGCTCACACCTGTCCTCATACTCTGGAGGCTGAGACAGGATCAGAAGTTTGAGATCTGAGCTGCAATAGACCCTGTCTCAAAAAAACATGCAATAGTGGAAGATTTTTAATAAACTACTAGGACTCGGTGATTAAAAGCTTGTGTGTTCTTCTAGTGGACCTGTGTTCGATTCCCAGAACCTACATACAGTTTAGTACCATCTGTAGGTCTGGCTCCTGGGAATCTGACACGTCTTCTGGCCCCCTGCAGGCACCAGGCATGCACATGGTGATAAACATATACCCTTATACAGAAAACAGTTTTGTTTTTAATTTAGATTTATTTATGTGTGTGTGTGTACTTGGCCTGCATGTGTATTGTATATATGTGTGTATGTGCCTGGTGCCCAAGGAGGTCAGAAGAAGAAAACAGATCCTGGATCTGGAGTTACGTGTGAGTAGTTGTGAGCTGTCAGTATTGGGAAGGAAACCTGGTGTGACAGTTCAAATAAGAATGGCCCTGGGGGGGCTGGAGAGATGGCTTAGTGGTTAAGAGCACTGACTGTTCTAGAGACCTTGAGTTCAGTTCCCAGCAACCACATGGTGGCTCAAAACCACATGGTGGCTCACAACCATCTGTGATAGGATAAGATACCCTTTTCTGATGTGTCTGAAGACAGCCACAGTGTACTCACATAAAATAAATAAATCTTAAAAGAATGGCCCTTATAGGCTCAAATATTTGACTGCTTAGTCACTAGGGAGTGGCACTATTTGAAAGGATTAGAAAGATTAGAGGTGTGACTTTGCTGGAAGTGTGTCACTGGGATAGACTTTGAAGTTTCAAAGGCCCAAGCCAGGGCCACTGTCACCCTATCTCAGCCTGCACCCCTGGATGTAGCTCAGTAGCTCACCAACCACAGACCAAAAACAAAACCCAGATTCCAACTCAAGTGTGAGTTGTAGCTACTTAAAAGTTCAGCGGTGGTGGTGGTGGTGGTATTATGGGGATGAGATACTGGGAACAGAAAGAAAATGTCTTTGAAGTCCATCGTCCAGGGGAGTCAGGACAATTCAAAGAAGGAACTGGAAGACAGGAACAGAGGGTATGGAGAAGTATTGCCTGCCGCCTCACTCTGTCTTGTTCAGTTTGCCTTTCCTGTAGTCCTCAGGGCCACCATCCCAGGGGTGCTGATGCCTACAGTGAGCCTGGGCCAGTCATCAATCATGAACATGCTCACAGGCAAAATGAGTGGAGGCATTGTCTCAATCGAGAGAGAGTCCCTCTTCCTAGATGACTCTAGCTTGTATCAAGTTCACAGGAAGCTAGCCAGGACAGTTGACCCTTGACAATTTGACACATCAATACAGCACTACTAAACAATAACCTTTGCTTTTTTGTTCATCCTTAAGATCTTACTATACCAGTATAAAGCATTCTGAGTTTTAAAGTCCAACAGTCTTTACAAATTTAGTCTCTTGCAAGTGTAGCTCTGAGTTCAAGAGTGGATTTCAGAATAGCCAGAACAACAGAGAAACTTCATCTCAACAAACAAACAAATTTAATCTCATTAAAATACCCAGTTTCTCTAACATTCCAAAGTTTCTACTGTGAGCTCCTTTGGCACATCTGAATCGAGGCAATACCAATGTACAGCAGTGCAGATGATTCTGTCCAGTGTCTGGAATTCATTGACAACCCTTTGGGCTCCAAAGAGTCTAGATATTTCCATTTCTGTAGCTTTGCCATTTAAAGTACAGCTTATTCCCAAGGCTCAGACTGGCTAGAGTACTTGGTAGTGGTCCTGAGGCACTGACATCTCCAAGGTGCTGAGGTCTCCACTGTGCTGGGCTCCAGTGTCACAGTCTCTCCTGGGTACTTTTGAGCGGCTAACCCTGCTGTGTGTTGCCAAGCCTTTCTCCATGACCTTCTATCCTGGGGTTTCCTCTGCTCCTGATGCTGTGTCTACACCAGTGACATCTGGCCTCCCAGAATGCCAAGCGTCAGTTGTTCTCCACAAGACCTTCATGCCTTCAAAACCAGTACCACCTAGAAACTTACATATTGCCAAGTTTGGCTGGCAGCACAAGGTGCAGCCCTGGCTGCCTTTGGAATACAGCTTCTGGATGCTGACCCTGAAGAAACTTTCTAAAAGATTTTCCCTCAATGATGCTAGTCTTAGTCACAGCTGCTTCTTCAGTCCCAACTGACCAGTATCAGTTGTCCCAGCAAAGCAAACGTTTCACTATGGTGGTTATTAAGGCAAAGTAGCACATGACTGGCCTTGGCAGGAAGTCCATGAGCCAGCCCTCTACTGTCCACATTGCCCTGAGCGGTTTCTTCTTCTCACAACAGCTCTGAACACGCAATAGCTTTTCCAGCCTAAAGTTCCAAAATCCTCAGTCCTTTCCAAAACCATATGATTAGATCTGCTGCATCAACACTCCACTCCTGATACCAGTTTCTGTCTTTATTAGGGTTTCTATTGCCACGATAATGCAGCATGGCCCAAAGAACCTCAAAGAGGAAAAGGGTTTATTTTATCTTAAAAATTTACAGTCCATCATCCAGGGAAGATAGGGCAGGAACCTGGAGGCAGGAGCTTGATGAACGGGCCCTGCCCTGGAGGAGTGTTTCTCATGGAGTTGCCTCTCATGCCTTGTTCAGCCTGCTTATAGCAACCAGGACCACCTGCTCAGGGGACACGCTAGCCATGGTTGCTAGGTCCTCTCACGTTGGTTATTAGCCCAGAAAATATACCAGAGGCTTGCTGACAGACAAATTTTAAGGGGTCATTTTCTCAACTGAGACCCCTCTTCCCAGGTGTCTCTAGCTTGTGTCATGGAACTAGCCTTGATCACATGCCAGGACAGGAGCAAGAGAACATTCCTCTCCCAGGAGGACCAGAGCTATACCTGCAGTCAAAAGCCCAACTCTTTCTTGACTCCTGTGAACTTTTTTGGTCCAAGGATCTTGGCATCAAAACCAAGATCTAGTTCATGTATATTTCTACTAATTCTACTTCTTATGTGTTTTCCAGGGCATGAAATTCATTGGGCCCTCAGCCAGAGCTAGCCAAGTGTCTCTAATGACCTACATGCGCCAGTCTATCTGTGGCTGAATTCCCTTGAAGCATTTTCTTACATTAAACTGCCAATGTATCCCCAGGGAGGGGACTCAAGACCTTCCCTTCTGGCCACTGTCGACTGTCTATAAATCACAAGGAAGGCTCAGAGCCTCCTGAGCACCATGTCCCTGCATGGTGGAACATTAATTCATATGTCTAACTTTGGGGAGTTCAAGAGGCTGTGTTGTTTACGCCTACCTCCTGAGCCAAGCAGCCACCATCTTGGAGGGTTCAGCTGTTCCCACTTACAAAAGGAGTATTCCAGCTGGGCTTGTTGGTTTACATCTGTGGAAGGGCGCGGAGGGTCACAAGACTATCACCTGAGTATCCAGCTGCTCCCTAAATCTGGTGTATGCAAATCTGCCTTAATTGTTCACAGCCTAGGGGAAGAGCTAGAATATTTCGGTCCAAGAAGGCTGAGGAGGGGAGGGGAAGTTCCGTCTGTGTAACCATGGGAAAGTTCTCATCCCACCTAGGTAAAGGCTTTGCAAATGCAGCAGTTTTGAGAAAGGAGTGTACTCACAATTCTCAAGCCCTGGGGTTGAAGACCTCCGCAGAGGGGAGACCCTCACTCAAGTCTCAGAAAGTCGCGGCCACCCAGTAATCTGCTCGAGACACTGTGTACCAGAGCAATTGCGAGGTTTATTAGGGTGTGACAGCTAGCTGCCGGTCAATTTGTATGCCCACGCAGGAGCTGAATTGACCCCGACAGCCAGTTTGAGAGGGGTTTTTAAGGGGAAAACCACAAACCAAGGAATGGGGAGGGGGCTCATGGTTGTTAAGGTGGCATAACATAAAAATAGCAGAACATTCCAAAGGAACCCAACCTACATGAGTCAGGATCAGGTGAAAACTCTCTGTACGCTTATCTTTCTCAAGAATGTGGTCCTGCCCTGTCACTTTGGCCTTGCCCTGTCACTGCGGTTCTCAGCTTGGTTCTACCTGGCTATCTTGCATTCTAGCCAGTTCCCGTAACTAGCCTGTCCACATTCTTAACTTGTTTCATGGCTCGG